GAGGCGTCCCCGGTTCCACACTATTCAAGCCAAAAGTTTTGGTCGGGGGGGGGTGTATTATTTGGGCCGCCACATTACTTTAGGAACTGTTCAACTCGACCAAAGCAAAAACCTAACCTTAAGCCTTATTGACGAAGCATGGCCCCGGCATGTGTGAGCAGGAATCGCGGCTTCAAGCCGACGACACGCTTCAGAGCGTTCACCTGAGGTGGTCTGGAGGTGTCAGCACAGGCCGGGTCAGCAGTCTTGGCTGTGCGACCGGGGTTGATGGTTCTGGGTTCGGGTGTCGGTCTTGGGGTTGGGAAACAGATCGAAGGCTTCAATGTGCAGGATGAAGTACGGGTCTGTTTTCGGGACTTGACTCAAAGCGGCCCTGGCATACCAGCAGTGTATTGGTAGGGTTAGACAAGGAACCATGATCGTAAACTCTGCAGCTGATGATATCAGACACACTGTCAAAATGTTCGGTGCTATGCAGTGTTGAGGAAGGCCTGCGACTTACCTCAGGGCTCGGAGGACGCCCTCCAAAACACTCATTTCAGCATCCTTAACTCCGAAGTCCTGTTTCTGATGTGGCCTGTAGCCTCCATCCCATAAACCATGCCCCAAAACCGGTCATCCCAGCTGAACACACAGTGTGAAGACTCAGGAAACCCGAGACACCCAAGCAGAATACTTGAAAAAGAATCAACAGATAAAACAGGGCCCGGGCAGCATCTGGCAGGGTCATGTAGTTGAAGACCTGAGGTAGAGCTGAGGGCTTTTCAAGAATAGGCCAAGGCTGAATGCCTGAGGCTACAATCACAACTTCTCCTCTCCGAATTTTGACTTCACGACTCCTTGATACGACCGGAGGCCTGGAAGGCTGTCGAGTATCACTTGTGAACGGTTCAGCCCTTTGCCTGAAAGCGTCTAAGGGTTCAGGGCTTTCGCGACTTTAGCCCGATCCCGATCCTCCCGAGGAAATGGCTTCTACACTTTACAGCGGCAAATTCGTTCCTTTCTAGACCTGAACTTCCCAACGAGAGTTCTCAATGATGCAGGGTCCCAGTTGATGAACACCTCCCTTTCTTGAGGGAGCATCTTCATATTATCCTCATCAGGGAGGGTGGCGGGGTGTCTTGCAAGCCGAAGCTTCAGAGCGACCTTGAACCTCAGAGGTTCAGGTTTCAAGGCTTCGACGTTGTGGGTTTAGATGTTGCGAGTTCATGACTTGGCATGTTCACAGGAAGGCACGAAGGCCGGCTGCGCTTTTCGGTTCTCAGCCACGACCTCCTGACACCGACGTTATTCACAATACACCGCTGGTCAGTTCAGAGCTTCTCGAAGGATAATGGTGATGAGGATGACGCGGGTGATTGAGGCTGTGATGATTGCCATCATGATGGTGTGACGATCAGGCGATGATGAAGATGCAACCGATGGTATTTGTGATAAACATGAACAAGATACCAGATGATGATGATGATTCCTCCACACGACCCAGGCAACCCACTCGTATAGCTACAAACTTACTTACAAACAGTGATGAATGCATGCTTCAGACTTGGCACAGAGGGAAGCTAATGCCTGACGAGGTCTTAGCCCGTGCAAGCCGTTAGCCTGGAGCCGAAACG